AAGAACTTCAGCGTAAAGCTTCAAATATTTACAAAGGTGCAACATTTAGAAGGTATCGTTTTATTTTTCTTAAAGAGATAACGCTGAACAGAAACCCTGAAATACTGGTATTTTTGCTGGCAATTATGGATAGTTGTTTTTCAGTTTTGCTGAATTCGAAGAATATTTAGAAGCTTACAAAATTGTATGGAATTATCCATACAGGAGAGCTAGTTCTGAATATCTACGAGATAACGAAGGACGTGTGATTGACCGCTTTAAATATAAATATATAGTGTTTCACTGTGCGCATTATGGGCATCCGCGCAAAAGAGGTCATGTTTAATTTTTTTTTTCTTTCGTTCTCCACAACAACTTTGCAAAAGCGCTTTAATACTATTTTAGGATGACTCTCGTAAACTTTTGTCAAACGATGAAATGCACCTATCGTAATCATTTTCGCTATTAAACTATTAGTAAACAGAACGATGCTCGTAATATTTGCCGCCACTATTTTGCGATACTGAATCTGATCAACCATTACGCACTCTTAAAATTTTTCTTATACGAGCGAAATAAAAATTTCACTGTTCATTTTTTAGGAGGCGGTAAGCGTCCAAATCAGAGTTATCTTTCATTAGGTTGCCAAGCCAAATTTCGTTTAATTTCTGATATGACGAGTGGCTGCCTTCGAATTTCATCTTTTCATGAAGAACACAAAAATCATGACAACACTGAGGAAGACTACTTGCGCGTTATAAAGAGAAAGAGGAGAAGTTTAACTGGTAAGTTCATGGATTCACTAAATTTTCGGATGCAATCTATTCCTTGAATTGGAGTAATTTATTTATAGATGGTCTTGGACCGAGAGACATCAGAGAAGAAACGACGGGAGAAACAGGCAAGCTCTATTATTTTTTATTTTCGTAATTGAATGATGTTAGAATATGAACAAACGGTAATATTATGCAATTTCAGAAGAAACAATGCCGAAATGCAACAGCAATGAAGTAACGATGTTAGACGCAAATGAGTATACAAGTGCGTCTGAAGTCTCAGAGAATAAATCTATTCCCGTTTCAACTCCAGGAAATTCCACTTCTCAAATTTCATCCCAAGAAAACTCTGCCTTTCATCACGTCATAGAAGTAAGTGAGTAACTTCATATCATAAAAAATTTTATGAAAGAAAACATAAAAATGGTGGACATTTTTAGATGACGAAAGAAGGAATACACCTAACGTCACAACTGAATATATTTTTGATAGGTTCTATTCTTCAGAAAATATTCGCAACTCCGTTATCTGATCGATTACAACGCATAGAATATTTGATCGTGAGCGGTTCGTTTTCTGTTTCGTAGGTGCACGTGTTTCATAACATTCAGCTAACATCACTCGAACAGCATTTGTTTCTAAATTAATTGAAAGCATTAGCTTGTATTGATGAGCAATCTTCGAGCTACGCAAAGCGTTCATAAAGATCGAGTATATTTGTGTCATGTATCACCGAGGAATTCAATCCATAGATTTTCTTCATCTTTTGAACGTTTTGAACTTTCTGATTATTTTAATTAATCCAATTTAGCTTATATCATTAATTGTGTGCGATATCTCCCACTAGAACTATACCTGTCGTTTATCCATGGCATATGTGGTGCTGATTATCGTCTATCGGAATGGTCAAATATACAACTGAGAAATGTTATGGCATTACTTCTACAACCACCAGAAATACTGTTCAAAGGCTTGTTACCCAGCGATATTTCAATAAATGAAGTGAAACAAGTTCGACCACCAAGTATTCAGCGCGCGATTACGGCTATCGGTGAGGAGAAGCTGAAAGTAAGAGTAATAATTGATATTCAATTCAATCTCTAACAATATGGGTACCTAGTCGTATTTGTGTACATGTTTATATCCATGAATAGATCAATGTATTCTTTTCGTACTTTTCCTTTATCTCCCTACGTTATATCTTCGCGCATTGTTTCAATAACATTTTGCAGAGATGGAGAAAGATTTTCGCACGACTTATCAGAAATACTTCTGTACCATTTTTGCGTAATCTCTTTATGGATTTTTGCGAATCCGAGAAATTTGGTGATGATGTATGATACGTGAATGCGAGCAAGTCATATAACAAAAATACGCTACAATGGTAATCCGATAAATAGTGAATCATCGATTTTTATTTTGGGATCTCAATATGAGGAAGCTTATCTCTAATATTTTTAATACAATATTGATATTGTTTATTCATCATGTGCGCTTTTTTCATGTATTTTCACTCGTCTATCGCTACTTTCTCTTTTTTTTTTGTTGTGTTCAAAATAAAAGGGTTTTCGAATTAAAAAGGCGTTTATCATTCAACTTAATGTTTGGATTATCAAAATATTGGTAATAATTAGCAAAAATTTAATGAAATGTATCAACCGAAGAAACGGAAAATGTCCCAACTATCAACCTTTTAACTTCAATTTCATCTTCCGCTCGAAGATAACTGAAGTCGCAAAAGTTTAAATAAAGCTTATTTTTTCCTTCGTCCGATGAAATTCCTCCATTAATTCCATTAATGCTTCTATTCTATAAATGTCATCAACATCATAAATTATAAATTCATCGTTCCAAAAATTCCATTATTCTTTCCAACAGTTTCTTGCCTAATTCGTCATGGAAACTTTTGTTTTCAATATCTCAAGTAAAATGAGTGAGATCGAAAAAAAAATAATGAAAAAATTTCACTAATTAATTGAATTGTCTTCACTTTTCTCCTTATTTCCAGTTTTGCTGGATATAAAAGGGCTTTTAAGTTTTTCTATTTTGGAGCTTTTAAGTAATTATAAATTCTAAACTGTCAGTAGTTTCTTGTTCTTGAAAAATTTTTATGGCGAGTGAAAAAAAGAGGAAAAATAATCCTTTTTATATTAATATCCATAGCGAGCAGAAGTGGGATACAGTATATTTACTATTTAAACCGATCTATCACTCGCCTTCAGTATATTCTAGATGAAGTAATGTTACATAATCTTATATGCTTCAAAATTCTTCTCAAATTCATCACAACTGAAAACAGGGAATAAAAGTTACCATTTGTGATAATCGATTTGATTCGGAAATATGAAATCATTCACTACTTTAGCTCCATCATGTGCTAAGCGAAAACGCACTGAATCGAAATTATTGAACATCGATCAATGATATAACAACAAAACAAGTATCGTAAGGCTTCAAATATTTACGAAGGTAACGTATTTCGAAAGTATTGCTTATCTTTGTGCCAAAGATATAAGTCTAAATAAAATATTTTGGTTATCTAAGGCAATTAGTGCAATTATTACAAATAGCAATTGTTCAGATTTTTTCCATTATTTTCAGTTTCTAAGAATTCGAGAGATATTTTGAAACTTTTATGAGATTATTGGAGGAATCCCTGTAGGATAGCTAGCTGCTAGATGTTCCAGAACGTTAAAAATAAACGATAAAAACATTTATTATAAAAGAAGCAAATTCCACTTATTTTTCAATTCTCATAAGTATATAATGTTATAAGATGAACGACGATGTGGTAATATTATTATGCTATTTCAGAAGAAACAATGCTGAGATACGATAACAATGAAGAAACGATATTAAACGTAAATGAGTGTACAAGTGGAGATATAGCAGACAAAGTTCTACCCTGTCATTTCATCCAAGAAAAACTCTGCTCCAGTTATTTCAATATTCACAGCTCAGTTATTCAACCGATTATAAGATAGAATCTTAGAATATTTGATCACATGTATGATTATCAAAAGGGAAAATTTGAAGGTGAAAGCAATGTTGCTTCTGTCAATATAAGGGCGCCGTACTAGAGTGATGTTGTATCGGTATCAATGTAAGGATGTGAAATTCTAGAGGTCCTGAGTGACAAATTAACAAATTGATAGGATCTTTTTAGCTGATTTTGTGCATGCAAAAATCTAATTATCTAATTACAAAGCAATGAATCAAAAAAGTTTAGTGAAAGCTTGCAAAAACAGTAAAAAACAAAAATAAAAATAATTATGAGCGCATAGTAATCAATGAGTTTAAATAAAAATTCGTTTAGTATACTGTAATGAAATTACACAATTATTGTGGGAATCATAAGAATTAAGCAAAGTTGTCTAAAGCATGTATTTTTTGTGCCATTACAAATTCAGCAAAATTTATCGCTGAAAAATTATTTCCTATCATGACGAATTTGCATTGAGTAAAGATTAACTTCTAATTGTATTCTGTATTTATCGTGTATCTTCTAAATTAATTTAGCTAAATTTGAATTACACAATTATCGTTGGAATCACATATCATTTTTACTTCTATCAAATCAATAAATTATAAACATTTTCAAAATTAAAAAACTTCACTTCATCAGACTTCAATTTTATGTATTGAAAAACATATTTTCCCTTAAAGTCAGAATCTGTCCTTCCATTAAAATATCAGTTCCGAAAACGTGTCAGCGGTATGATGGCAATCGCACGATTTTCATTCTTAACCTCACTAACACTGTTTTGCATTTTCATTGCTAACAATGAAGTACTGCGTGATGAGATCTCGACGATTCCCAAGAATTCGCAACGCTGCGATGGAATGAGCCATATAAAGCGTAAAAAAGGAGTTTTTAACGAATTCTCAAGGCAAAGTTTAGTGAATAGCTCGTAGACGAGCTGAGCGATGAGACAATAATGATCAGCAAAATGATTTTTACTGGAAGAACATCGCGGAATA